TGATAGTGCAGATATGCTGAACTGAGAATTTATAGTCTATGGCTGATAATTTCTAATGCTCCTCTATAGCAGGGTTTTACATATCTAACACTAACAATAATTGCTTCCACCCAATTATCTGCTCGATCTACCTCCATGCCTTGGGGTTCTGTAGTGTCCTTTTAGTCATTTGAATCCAAATCTTGTTGATTACTGTGCTTTGTATTTTCTCTGTCGTTTCAAATGTCGGGAACATTACCAAGAAGATTTGAATTAGTTTTTTGCATTAGTTCACACAGACCTAGAGACTGGATGGAGAGTGGTTGCTGGAGGTTGCTGTCTTTTGCAAACTGTATGCTGCGCCAATAACCTCCTTGTGGTTGCTGCAGTCGCCTGTAGTTTGCATGGATGGTGTCAACTTGCCCGTATTTGCCAACAAACCATTGAGCACTAGTGAAATTTACACTGCTCACCTTTAATGTAAGAGTTGTACCTTACTGCTGAAACCACCATGTTTCAAAAGGCGTAACTCTTTACTTTGAAGGCAAACATTAGCTATTAACACACAAGTGTTGCACTCTTCAGTTTCACTGCCACTTGGCGAATAAAGAAGTCAGAGTCTTCTCTGCAAAGGACGAGTGACCACAGCAATCACAAAGAGCTTTTTGGTGCGTCACCCTGTCTGGGCATCAGCGTCTGGAGATTCGGTTAATTCATAGTTTCAGATCATCCTTAAGGACACTAAACCTAGTGTAGGTTATATTTTTTGGGAGGGGCTGTTAAGTGAAGAGGGTACAAAAAGGGTACAAAGATCAGGGAAGACTGTGCAAATGTCCTCAGGCAGATTTGTTATGGGTCAGGTGCTTTACCCATGAGCTAAACCAGCACCCAAGAATTTAGACTCTTGCATCCCAAACAGTACAGTTGACATTATTTTAACTTTAATTAATTACATCACTCGTTGGTGGTGGTTGGACACTGTGAACCTGTATGTTAAAAATTCAGCTGTCATTGTTGATCAGTAGTTTGTTGATACTACCAGTATGTTCAACACTGGGGCGATTATGTGGAGTGCAACCAATATGAATCAATACCTTTTAACTGAGATATCAAGGTGATTGATTAAAATTCTGAAGGCTATTGAGGTATGAAATATAGATTTAGACTCCTGGACGCCATTCATTTGTTTTGAAGTTTAAAGTCTGCATTTATAAAGTAGACAGCAAATATTTGCAAACCTCTGGCGATTTCTCTGAGTGATTGCAGTCAGTCCAAATCAGACTGCAACAGCTTGTAGAAAGATTGCCACCCATCAGGTAGGTTGAACCCCCTGGGTCGTAATATTCCCAAAGTATTTGTATTTAATGTATTTATTTAATGAAATATTCATATTTGGCGCCCCTGTATCGAAACAATATAACAATGCAAAAATACACTGACACTATGCTGTATTGATTTTTTTTTCTTTTTTTTCCTTTTTCTCACTCATAATAATTAACAGAGTACCACACAAAAGCATGAATGCCGGTAACAGTGCCAGACACTCAGATTTTAAGCTCTACAAAAATTGAGCAGAGGAATCTAAATGGTCCGTAACACTTTGACTGTCTGGTGCAGTCAGCTGCTGCCTGTATTTGTCTAAGTGGCCACGCCCTGAACTCTAGCATCCTTTCTTCTTCTACTTTCAGCTGCTCCCTATATGGGTCTTCACATCTGCCTCCATCACACTCTATCCCTAGCATCCTCTTCTGTCTCATCAGCTCTCTGCATGTCCTCCTTCACTACATCCATGAAACCTCCTCAACATCCTTTGTCATATATATCCACTGTCCCTCCTCTGCACATGGTCCAACCATCTCAGCCCTGCCTCTCTAACCTCTTCTCCAAAACCGTAACCAGGGCCGTCCCTCTGATAGCCTTATTTCTTCTGAGCATCTTCAACTCTGCCACCTCCAGGTTGACTCCCTTTATTTCTCTCCTCACAGCCATCTTTGAAACCTTCCCTTTTGCTTTAGCCACTATTCTTCTGTCACAAATCACCTGCGACACTCGTCTCCACCCACTCCACCCTGGATGAATTATAAAAAAAAATCAGAGATTAAAACCATTTTTCTCCTGGGCAGTTAACATGCTTTTTAATGCTGTACATTTGAACATTTTAACATGGAAGTCTGTAGTGACTGGATTTTGGAGCCAGCCTCGAGGAACAGCAGTGTGGAGCGCTTCAGCATCAGACCTTGAATTCAGTCGAATCTGGACAGCACATATGTGATGTTGGTACAGAAAGTCGCTAACCTGCATCGGTATAAACTACAGTCTCAGCCTTCTAAAACCTCTTGACAGCTTCAGTTCAGTTAGACATGTAAATCGCTGCGTACATCTTTGTGCAGTTTTACCATTTTACCACCAGATAATGAGGACGTTTTAGCAGGTGCAGACTTTGCAAACCTGTTCTGTGCATCCTCTAAGCTTCTCTGGGGTTCTCCTGGGCTTTGTGGAAAAGGGTCACAGAGTTTAAAGGAGGACAGGCCTGGAACAAGCTCACACAGACTCATTTCAGAGACAGGATGTGAGCAGAAGAAGCCTATTTTAGAGCCCAGCACTGCCTTGCTTTGTCTTTCCAGTTAAATGAGAAAAGTTCTGGTCTGAGTGTCATTCAGACCTCAGTCAGAACAAAGGCAGAACGACGCGCCCCTTAAACAATGACGCTGATGTTTACTCAGCACCATGTCCTCTGTGTCGATGTGCACATGTATGGGTTTCATTGTGTGTCGTATTCGTGATTTCTCCTGTGCTTATCTGCACGCCCAGTCTCAGCAAGCTCATTTTGCATAAATCCTGAGAGTACAGTTTTACATCCTAATCAATCATTCATGATCACATCCTGCAGTATGCAAAGTTGCACATCTTCAAGGTGCTGTTTGCACAAAATTTCAACTTTTTATTTATTTATTTTTTTCTGCAGGTTGCACCTCATTTTCACTTCACGTTTTCTCTCAGGAGCGATCAGTGGAGAGAAAAGTGATGCTTAGAGTTACTCTCGGGTTTCATAAAGCAGACATTTTCACAGCGAAATAGGATTTTGGACATTG